CACTTTGGACCCATCCTGAAGACAGAGCCCCAACATCCTGAAGACAGACCTCCAACATCCTGAGGACAGACCACCACAACAGGATGTAGATAGACCCTCCAACATCCTGAGGACAGGCCCCTAAACATATGGAAGACAAAGCCCACAACATCCTGAAGACAGAACCCCCAATATCCTGAGGACAGATTCCCCCAACATCCTGAAGACAGACTCCCTAACATCCTGACAACAGACCCCTTAACATACTGAAGACAGACCCCCAACATCCTGACAACAGACCCCCAACATCCTGACAACAGACCCCCAACATCCTGAAGACAGACCCCCAACATCCTGAAGACAGACCAACCAACATCCTGAAGACAGACCCCCAACATTCTGAAGACAGACCAACCAACATCCTGAAGACAGACCCCCAACATTCTGAAGACAGACCAACCAACATCCTGAAGACAGACCCCCAACATCCTGAAGACAGACCAACCAACATCCTGAAGACAGACCAACCAACATCCTGAAGACTGACCCCCAATATCCTGAAGACAGACCCCCTGACATCCTGAAGACAGACCCCCTAACATCCTGAAGACAGACCAACCAACATCCTGAAGACAGACCCCCAACATCCTGAAGACAGACCCCTACATCCTGAAGAGAGACCAACCAACATCCTGAAGACAGACCCCCAACATACTGAAGACAGACCCCCCAACATCCTGAAGACAGACTCCCTAACATCCTGACAACAGACCCCTTAACATCCTGAAGACAGACCCCCAACATTCTGAAGACAGACCCCCAACATCCTGAAGACAGACCCCCAACATCCTGAAGACAGACCCCTAACATACTGAAGACAGACCAACCAACATCCTGAAGACAGACCCCTACATCCTGAAGACCCCCAACATCCTGAAGACAGACCAACCAACATCCTGAAGACAGACCCCCTACATCCTGAAGACAGAACCCCTACATCCTGAAGAGAGACCAACCAACATCCTGAAGACAGACCCCCTAACATCCTGAAGAGAGACCAACCAACATCCTGAAGACAGACCAACCAACATCCTGAAGACTGACCCCCAATATCCTGAAGACAGACCCCCTGACATCCTGAAGACAGACCCCCTAACATCCTGAAGACAGACCAACCAACATCCTGAAGACAGACCCCCAACATCCTGAAGACAGACCCCTACATCCTGAAGAGAGACCAACCAACATCCTGAAGACAGACCCCTAACATACTGAAGACAGACCCCCCAACATCCTGAAGACAGACTCCCTAACATCCTGACAACAGACCCCTTAACATCCTGAAGACAGACCCCCAACATCCTGAAGACAGACCAACCAACATCCTGAAGACAGACCCCCAACATTCTGAAGACAGACCCCCAACATCCTGAAGACAGACCCCCAACATCCTGAAGACAGACCAACCAACATCCTGAAGACAGACCAACCAACATCCTGAAGACAGACCCCCAACATCCTGAAGACAGACCCCCTGACATCCTGAAGACAGACCCCTAACATCCTGAAGACAGACCAACCAACATCCTGAAGACAGACCAACCAACATCCTGAAGACAGACCCCCAACATTCTGAAGACAGACCAACCAACATCCTGAAGACAGACCCCTACATCCTGAAGAGAGACCCCTACATCCTGAAGAGAGACCAACCAACATCCTGAAGACAGACCCCCAACATCCTGAAGACAGACCAACCAACATCCTGAAGACAGACCCCCTAACATCCTGAAGACAGACCCCCAACATCCTGAAGACAGACCAACCAACATCCTGAAGACAGACCCCCTAACATCCTGAAGACAGACCCCCCAACATCCTGAAGACAGACCCCTACATCCTGAAGACAGACCAACCAACATCCTGAAGACAGACCAACCAACTTCCTGAAGACAGACCCCTAACATCCTGACAACAGACCCCCAACATTCTGAAGACAGACCCCCAACATTCTGAAGACAGACCCCCAACATCCTGAAGACAGACCCCCAACATCCTGAAGACAGACCAACCAACATCCTGAAGACAGACCCCCAACATTCTGAAGACAGACCAACCAACATCCTGAAGACAGACCCCCAACATCCTGAAGACAGACCCCCAACATCCTGAAGACAGACCAACCAACATCCTGAAGACAGACCCCCAACATCCTGAAGACAGACCCCTAACATACTGAAGACAGACCAACCAACATCCTGAAGACAGACCCCTACATCCTGAAGACAGACCCCCAACATCCTGAAGACAGACCCCCAACATCCTGAAGACAGACCCCCTACATCCTGAAGACAGACCCCCTACATCCTGAAGACAGACCAACCAACATCCTGAAGACAGACCCCCAACATCCTGAAGACAGACCCCCAACATCCTGAAGACAGACCAACCAACATCCTGAAGACAGACCCCCAACATCCTGAAGACAGACCCCTAACATACTGAAGACAGACCAACCAACATCCTGAAGACAGACCTCTACATCCTGAAGACCCCCAACATCCTGAAGACAGACCCCCAACATCCTGAAGACAGACCCCCTACATCCTGAAGACAGAACCCCTACATCCTGAAGAGAGACCAACCAACATCCTGAAGACAGACCCCCTAACATCCTGAAGAGAGACCAACCAACATCCTGAAGACAGAACCCCTACATCCTGAAGCATCAAGACCAACGTTTGCTGTGGTTGCAGCCCTGATCACACTCCAAGTTTCTACACAACACCAGGAGGATAAACTTCTATCCTAGTTGGTACTGGGATTGTAGCCACCATTACAAAGTCCCAGATTTATCCAGGCAAGTCTGTGAAAGGTCAGTCCACTTCTTAAGTGCCAGGAATGCACCTGTCAGTAAAGCCCAGCCATGGCCAACAACAGTGCTCACCCAGCAGGAACTGGACAAGGTCCCCTTCTAAGCCCATGGACTTGGGGACTGGCTTCTGGTGAAAAGCCTCAGAGAGTGCAACTTTCCACTGGTAGCAGTAAAAGGATTGTACATGATGTTCAGCTTCATAGGAATGTGATCATTACCCTCAAGATCATTCCCAACAAAGAGTGCAATACATCTGCTCTCCTTAATCTTTACAATCAAGGTCCATTTTCACTAGAGAAAATTTTACACAGCCACTCATGTATAAAGATTCACAGCAAGTATTTATTGGTAATAAACCATGTGGAATTTAAGACAATTCATTTCATATAAGTAAATTTTTAACATTTATTAAAGATTAGTAAATTTGCATATTAATGAGATGGGTGTGTTTGTTTAGTTTTGTATAAAGGATTAAATCTCAGGTGATCAGAATTGATTGATATCTTGATTTTATAGTTCTCAATCCCAAGGATGCTGTTTCACATAGAAGCAGTATATAATACCAGAAGTCTTTGTAGGGCCATTTCAGTCACTGTCAGAAATGCTGTATGTAGTAATTAGTTCTAAGTCAAAATTCACTTAACAATATGTTTATGTAACTCAAGTGGTCAACTCACATAGTATTTTTATAATCAAATAATCTAGTAAGAGGTAGCCCAAAATACTAATTTGATACGTACTGAGGAATGGAGAGGCTTGAGGGCAGAAAAGCAGTGTAAAGGTTTTATGTTCTGTATTCTACAAGACCAGGAAAATTTATTTACACAGTACAACGCTGTCAATCAAAGACAGTTGACTGGACTCTGAGGCAAGGCACCTCATGTATCCCTCTTATACATTAGGTGCTTGATTTCCAATTACTTTATGACATTACATACTCATGGCCCACGAAAGGTCTCCTACATGAGCAACCACTCCATTGCTCCATTGCACCAAGGATATTACTGACACACACTCAAATATTACTCACATAAGCTCAGAAAGACCTAGGAAATATTTCTTCCATAGTCCATGGATTCTGGAATCACCTCCTGTCCCCCTATCTGTTCCTAATTGCACTTAGGACCTGTTTTAGATGTGAGAAGGGGTCCTGAAGCTCAGTGACAGTGGGTAACTGTACACAAGCCATCAACTATAAACATTTCATTCAACATAAGGAAGATCCTCCCTGGGTTTCAAGTTTACAGGTCCACAGTGACCAAGTCCTCAGACTGTAGCAATCCTGTAGGCATTTTTTCATCCTGTAGGACCTGGGAAAAGACTCATATCTTATAAACCAAAAGTGTAGTCCCTCCAAGTAACAGACCAGAGCACATACCAGGTTTATGTAGATGTTACTAAGACCATGACTACCAATGCTACCGTGGCGAGTCACATGTATTTGCCATAATGGACATAAGGAAATTGTCTCTATATTCCATGCTGCTGATATGGAATCAGCTGAAAGACACAGAACTTTGGAGAATGACAAAGGTAATCATGGATAATTTAACTAACTTCCAACCAAAACAAAATCCCAAAAATAATGGGAGGCACAAGCTATGTGTCAGAACTCCTGGGTCTAAAGATGGATATAAAAACACTTATCCCATGGGGAATAAATTACAAACCACAATCAAAAGAGCTAGCATAGTCTCTGGTACATAGTAGGTATTCAGAAAAAGGAAGTGAGTTTCTTTCTCTTTCCAGTATTTTCTCAAAGCAATTTCTGGCTTATCAAAAAGAGTGGATAATTGTTAAACTATACATAAAATTAAAATGACCAGTCTTTAATGTACAAAGTATAGATATGTTTTTAGATTTCAAAACTAAGAGGTTTTATATGACTCCCACTACTCACAACAAATAAGCAAGAGGCAAGCCTGGATGGACACTGTAGTGACTACAGAACACTTATGGGGGGGGGGCTGCTACTGCAATATACAATACCATTCTCAGCATCGTGGGATGGTCTGATGCCAACAGATTCTGAAGCAGTGTAATGAAAATCACTAAGGTGAGACCAAATGCATTTTACTAATATTATACCAACTACAGCCCTAGTATTGTACATGGCAGGTATGTCAAGTTAATTAATTATACTTACTTGCTTCCAATGTGCAACTTTCCCTTTTATATTGGATTCAGGCTTGAAAAGGAAGATGTCCTCCAAGAAATTGTCTTCATGTCTTCTACCTATGCAGATCCATTTTGTTTCAAGTACCCTAATCATTTTCTCCTGAGGCTTTTTACGTGTAAAATAGGGGCTGAATATAAGGGAGGAGAAAGCAACTATTAGTTTCCTCCTAATCAAAACTGCTTATGATTCAACTGTGTCTTAGCATTCAGGATGATGAGTCTAGGGTATTATTTGTTTTTACCTCATTGCTATTCAAGAACCAAGAGTATACTACCAACATTCTTACAGTCCTTACAGGATGAGTAGTCTGAGGAATACATGCAAAGCCACCTAAAAATAGTCCAGTCGTTATAACCCTCTCCATGCTGTAAGGGGCAGCGGGAGAGCTGGCGGGGCTGGGTGAGCACTGGGAAGCAAGAGATTGGTGGCGAGTCTAGGAGACTCTAGGGATGTGGCTTGCACTGCAGCATGGGAGTCGCTGGGCCTGAAGGTTTCTGTCTGTCCTAATGGTGAATATGGAAGTATACCCAGCAGTGATATGTTTGGAACATAAGCCACAAGGGAATTGTGACATTTCTGCTAGCCACTCTCATAGTCAAACATGGAGGTAAATCACATTCATTTTTTAATCTTATTATGTATTTAAGTCAATAATGTCTCACGAATGCTATCTGTGAAAAAAAAGCATCACATTTAATGGTAAGAAATTGGATATTTTCTCCTCTGAAAGCAGAAGCAATGGAAGACATGTCCTCCCTCACCTAGGTAGTACATATTGTGCTGGAATACCCAATAGGTCCTTCACAATTAAAAGGGAAAGGTAGGTCAGCCCTGCCTTTGATTTCAGAGGAAACCAATCAGTATTAGTGAAAAGATCCCAGGCATGCCAACCAAGAGAGGGAATACACTAATGATGTTTACATCCCTCCTCACAGAAACACAGGACTGGAGGAACAGTATGTTACTGTACAAATTGGCAAGTAAAAGGGATTAGACAAAATTCAGCAGGTACTATTTATGTAACAACCGCCAAAAGCATGTCAAAGGGGACTAAGCCAGTCTCATGAAAAACCCAACCTATGTGGCCAGAAAGATCATTTGTTAAAATGATAAGTCAGGTAGAAAATTTATCCTTAGTTATACCACAAACAAAGTAATCCAAACAGCACAGCATGCCCACATCATTAACAGGCTCTATTCATTCTTCAATTCTCTAAATGTTTCTGTCTCCCAATCAGTTAATATAAGGCACAGTAAGACAATAAAACCCTGAAAAGTTCAAAGTGGCTGCATTGCTCTCTGGAGGGCAGCTGTGCTTTGCAAACCTGGTCGTCTCGCTCACAATCATCCAGAGTACAGGGAAGGGAGTACATGAAAGCAGGCAGAACACGGCAACCGTGGGAACATGCTAAGCAGCTACACTCTTCCCCCGGGCTTCACTTTTCAAATGTCACCAGTGATGCAGCTAGATGAGCATGCTTATCAACAAGAGAAACTTTTGATGTAATCTTTCAAGATCAGCCAGTTGTCAAAGGTAAATAAAGGCATGAATTTTCATGAAAAGGTATTATTTTGCATATGCCCCAAAGATTCACATCCATGAAGCCTATGTTATCTAAGCAGAGATAAATTACACAAAAACAAACCGTTAACTACATTAACATGGCGAAGGACATGATGAGAAACTGAGGAAAACATTCTGTTCAGAGAAATTGTCAGGGCAACACCATCCTCCACCTCTTCCAAGCAATAAAGCAAGCCACAGGGCATGAAAACCACTCTCAGAAAAAGTCTGGGTGGGAGACTTCTGGAGTAGAGACACACGAACCGCTGTAAGAGAAACTGCACAACTAGCAAAAATTAAAAGGTAAAGAGCTCCAAGAATCCTCAAAGGGTGCAGGGCAAAAGAGTGTCTACTCAAGAAAACCCAAGTGTCCAATGTAAGGACAGATAGTACTTGAGCCACCACCTGCTTACTCCACCCAAACCAGTATAATGGGAAAGAAGTCCAGTTGGGTTGGTGGAACCCTCCAGTACTGTCAGCATCCTCATCAGGGCACAGCTCCCCCCAAGACAGGAAGGGCACCAGTCAGTGAGAAAGGCTGTGTGGACCAAATCCTTCGACCTCTGTCCCTGCTCTTGGGAAAGCACCAGCCAGGTACAGCAGGTACAGAACCCTGCATGCTGACTACCCCTCAGCAGGGACATGCAGGCCAGTGATGCCAACGCAGCTGGGCACCCTGTTTTGCAAGAGGGCTTGTCCTTTCATGCCAGCTGCCTGCTCTAAGCAAGGGCACACAGGTTTTCCCAGGGGTGGGATCAGAGCACGAATGCATGGAGTCATGAAGCTGCTTTGACTTCCAAAGCAAAGTAAGGTGACTGGAGAGAGTTACAGGATGTTCAGCCATAGGCGGGTCACGGCCGCAAAGTACAGTCCTTCACGGTTCAAGGGAAATATACCCTAGCTGAAGCAGTCTAGAAAACCCGTTCAGTAAAGAACACATCCTGGATGTGGCACAGCGCCGTAGCCTGGTACAGTGCGTAATTCAAAATGTCCTGACAAAGAAGTAAGAGCGTGAACTGTGCGGAAAGGAGCTGGCAGCAGAGCCACATCTGGAAAGAGTCAGTGACGTCAGCATGTCTAGGGGAACAGTGTCTGTAAATATGAGGAAGGTATGTCTTGAACAGAGGTTTCAGTAGGGTGAAATGTAAAAAAAATAAGACTCCGTCATCAGAAAGCACAATACCAATGAATACCCGTTACTGGGATGAATCAAGAATAGATCTGCATTGAAATAAGTATTTTGATGAAAACCCCAAAAAGACTTTGGTGAGAGGAACACATCTCAACATACTGAACACCGGGTGCCCAGACTTGCCAAAGCGATGCCACACGTGGTGTAGCTCACCGCACCTCCAGGAAAAGTTGCTAACAATGCTTATACACTGCCAGTGTATACTGTTATTACCTTTAGGACAAGTTTTTGACGAGAAAATCTTAAATCAGAGTAACTTTCGACTCCTATTGCCTATAAAATTGCCACAAATCTGCCATGTCATTTAAGAACTATCCTGCGTCACTTACCTGTGTACATGATGAGTGTGCAGGATGGTGGGTACCAGTAAGTTAAGGTTTGGCTTCAATTACAACAGAATGGACTCAATTGACATCTATTTATTCTGTACCCCTGATCTGTCCTTTCAATTCCTAAGGTATTTTCTTCTTTTTCCTCCAACCAATGGCGCCTTAAACTTGATGGTTCAATACTGTTCTGCCCCTTTCTAGCCTGAGTCTGAACGCCTAGAGTATTACCAATAGTTCCTCACTTGCTGGGACACTTACTTTTAATTTCTAAGTTAACATATCTAGCCCAGAACAAATATTTGTAGTCATGCTTAGCATGAAAGCCTTTTAACAACTTTGAAACATTACAGTTGAGGAAAACTAAATTGATACCCTTCTGCCAACATACAAATCATAGAAAAAAGTTTCTTTGTGGTTTAAAGCAACCCAAAACACATAGCAAAAAAAGAGCAGCAACAATAACCAATCACAGAGATTGCAATCACGCTAGAATCTAGGCTTTCTCTTCATCTCCATCTCAGCATTTACACCGAAGGCCAGCAATTATGTTTTCTACAAATCAAGGAGGTAAACATTTTAAGCCTTTTAGTATGTAGGTTCTTTGCATATTTTTCATTTTTTATGACAATTGAAAACTTTAAATCCATGCCTCCTCAAATGCAGGCCATGTCAATGTTTGCTGTGCCTTCAGTGAGGCGTGATCCTGACTGATCTGGCTGGACACACATGGACACATACACATACACTTCTCCACTGCACCTTAGAGGCTCGGGGGAAAACAGGGAAGCACAAACATGTGTACACAGACATGTAATTCAGATTTAGTAACTATAATACATTCTTGAGGTAATACACTTTAAGCTCCTTAGGTGATGCTTTAACATAGATAGAAGCACAGCAGACTGGTAAGGGAGAATAAAATATGAAGATAATAAGTGCACATATGACAGTGGGCAGAGCATCCCAAGTGAGATGAACCAAGAAAATCCACCAAACAACAGGTGTCACAGAATATTACTTTACATGGCGTGAGGATGTGTCACTGTGATAGGTCTTATAAAGTGCTGATTGGCCAGTAGCTAGGTAGGAAGAGGTTAGGTGGGACTTCTGGGGACAGAGAGCTCTCTGGGAAGAAAAAAGTTGCAGTCTCCAGCCAGATGCAGAGGAAGCAGTACATACAGAAGGAGAGGTAAAAGCCATGAGCCATGGGAGTGCCCCTAGATTAATAGAGATGGGATAATTTAATTTATAAGAACTACTTAGAAACAGGCTTAAATTAAGGCCAAGCTTTCATAATTAACAAGTCTCTTTTTCAGGACTTGGGGGCTGATGGTCCAAAATAAATAAATAAATAAAACCTGCTACACAGGTGCCTAACATGATACCATAGACATGAGGCCTGAGGAAGCTTTTAAAAAGTACAGAACACAGAGTCAAACACAGCTTCCTGGTGACCATGGTCTCTAGGGTAGGCTTGGTGGCATATGGAAACATGGCTGCCGGTGGCTGCCTGTAGGCTGGAGGCCAGCCAACAGCACCATACACCAGTGGTAACCACTGAGCTTGGCCTTACAGCAGCTGACATGACAGCAGAAGACTTGTCTCACACAGTCAGAGTGCACTGCAGTTGCTCGGTAATGACGGATCCAGATGGCAAAAAAAAAAAAAAATCTCTAAACAGGAACAGTGTGTTTGAAAAAAATGAAAAGGTTTAAAAATGAAAAGAAAATGGGGACGGACAGTCATATAAAAAGTTTATTAATAATAAGATAGTCTTTAAAGAAAGAATAAAGTAATTGAAAAACATAAACCACAGAAGGATGGAAAATCTAGAGGATGACTAGATCCTATACGTTGTTGATTTGAAATTTTTGATTACTGGTGAACAAACAACAGCTACTGAGATACAGCAGATTGTATCAGCCTACATACTTCCGAAAGATCTTAAATTTAAAATAGAAGGTCAAAAATGTATTGTGTTGGGAAGAGGTTATGCTTTTGTTTCCACAGGAAATAAAAGGCTATGAATTCGTTCAAGGTTT